GAGAGAGAGAGAGAGAGAGAGAGAGAAATAGATGCATGAATTGCTAAAATGATTAAACTAATATTCAGAATTTCTGTTCATCTAAAGACACTATTAAGCTGAAAAGACAAGTTACAGAGAGGTAAAAGATACAATATATATATATCACAGAGACACATATATTTTGCAAAAAAAATTCATCCAAACTACAGTATATAGTGAGCTTCTAATATTAGTAAGAATTAATAATTATAAGAAAGACAGTAAGCCCAATAGGAAAATGGGCCAAAAAGTCAAACAGGTGCTCCATAAAAGAAAATACCCAAATGGTCAACACTAGCATATGAACAGGTAGGTAACTGAGCCATTGGACAAACATACATTAAAAACATAATAAAACACTGCAAGTTGAGTCACAGAGCGCTCAAGTGATAAAGCCTATGCAAATATTTCAAAATCTGAAAAGCTCTGAAATTTGAAGCATTTCTGATCTTGTCCACTTGAGGGACACTCTGTTACACACCCACCAGAAACTGACACAATGAAAACTAACAGGAAGTGTGAGGCTGTGGTGACCTGGAATTCTGCACCCTCTCAGAACAGCAACTGGAAACACACACTCTGGAGATGCATACATATAGGCTGCAACCTAGCTATTTTTTTCCTAGGTATCTATGTGACAGAAATACAAATGTGCATTCACCAAAAACGTGAAAGGTTACAGAAGTACCACTTGGAATGGCTCTGAACTGAAAGCTATCCCAGTGCCCATCACCAGCAGAACAGACGATGCTACTGTCACATAATGGGCAGCAACAGATACACAGCAATGGCAACAGACTACATGCAACTGTATGGACAGCTTTCATAATATTGAATAAAAGACATCAGAGCGTGCACACTATATGATTCCTCGAACATAAATTCAATAGTGTATGTGGTTAAAAAGCCAGGAATGCGGTTACATACATTCAGCATGTAAGGGGGCCGGGGAGACGGCTCAGTAGAGTAAGCGTTTCCCTGGCAAGCACAAGGGTCTGAGTTCAATCCCTGGCTCCGCAAAAAAAAGACTTAGGACATTCAGCATGTAAGATACATTCAAGGTAACCATTCCTGGAGGGCATGAGGAGAGTCCTCCCAGGCTGGTAATCAACTTGTTTCTTATCTCAGGGCTGGCCACCCTTTGTACAAATCCATGAAGCAGTCTTACAATCTGTTGTATGCCATGGTTACAAAACATTGGAGCACATAAAAAATGAGGGTGCGAAGATGAAGAAGTTAGTACACAACAACAAAAATGTACACTTCGGCTCTAGACATTTGGCAGGAGGGGACACAAATGTTGCTCTGAGCTTCCTTGTAGACAATGCAAACAGGACAATGCAATCAGTTAAATGATTTAGTGTCCATAAAATAAAAATGGAAGTAAGCAAACCGTGCTCAGGAGGCACAGAACTATTCTCAGAAGAGCTGTGAGTAATTTCTCCTCAGAGTTCTCAGAGCAAGATGTTGTGCAACACAGCAATGTATGTCCCCAATACTTCAGAAGCCACAGTGAGTGACACAACAACCTTCCCCATAGGCTGATGCTTTAAAACCAAAGCACAGTTCAAAGTGGCTAAGTGGGCAAATACAGGATGTAGGGCGGGGAGTAGGCTGGGTAAGAAAAACACTGCAATGCAGGGGTGCCCCTTCGACGGCCTCCAGGGATGGAGCAGAATAAGTGGTTTACACAACTGCTAAGGGTCCTCCCGTAACTAGTGTTTCTCAAATCCAAGTTCTGTTTTGCTTTGTTTTCAGTACTAGGGATTGAACCCAGTGCCCTGAACATACCAGGCACCTGCTCTACCACCAGTTACACCTCCAGCCCTTTAAAACTTTATTTTGAGATGAGGTCTTGCTACAGTTGCCCAGGCTGGCCTCAACTTGTGATCCTTCTTCCTTGGCCTGATGAGTGGCTGGTATTACAGGCATGTGTCACTGGCACCAAGGAAGTTAAGCAATTGGTAAGCACAGCCTGGTGGTGAGCTCAAGGTCATGCTTCTTTGTTTTGTTGTCTTTTTTTTTTTTTTTTTTGAGACAGGGTCTCACTATGTGGTTTAGGCTGGTGCTTTGAATTCAAAGAAATTCTCTTACCTCAGCCTCCTGAGCACTGGGATCACAGGTGTGTATCACCACACCCAACAAATTCTCGCTTTCTAAAGACAAGTATCTGAAATCTAACTCATGTACATAGTCAATAAAATGATGGAAGAAGGAATACAGGAAATATAGCCGTTTTTTAGACAGTCATTGGAATGGTTTCTGAATGGTAACCATTGAAAGCTGACATGCTAGGGCTGGGGAGATGGCTCAGTAGAATAAGCGCTTGCCTGGCAAGTGCAAGGGTCTGAGTTCAATTCTTGCTTCTGCCAAAAAAAAGAAAGAAAGAAAGAAAAAGAAAGCTGACATGCAGAATAACCACAGACTCTCCTTGTTTAGTGACCAAGCTACGTTCCTGCCATTAGGTCATTAAATGAATTAGCTGCCCAATGGGGAATTGCACATAGTATGCACATCACTATATACAGAACAAGGAAATGGTCAAAGGAAACTCCAACTTGGGGTTCTGCTTTTGCTTGGATAACTCTTACCTGCAGTACTGTAAAGTATAATAGAACATAATACTATAGTACTGTACTATTGTGCAGTACAATTAGCAAAAATTATAGTACTGAATAAATAAGGTCTACTGTACAAAAAAAAAGGCAGTAAGGCTCTATGAATAAGATATACAGAATTGTACAAATAAAACAGATGGGTGGTAAATCCAAGTAGTGGAGAGTAGGTTCACATGCTTCAGTTGTAAATGCAACCTGCTGTTAAACAGGTGTGTCATTAAACAAGGAATGTCTGTATTAATTATTAATCTTTGTTTCCTTCAAAGAAGAAAGATGTTTTCCCCTATCATATGTTTTAAGCAAGATACTCTATAACACCATCTTCTCATCCAAGCCTTCCTAAAATACACAGCTATCCCCCTCAAACATATTCAGCTGGTCCCTATGTCTACTGGAAGAACTTCAAAATGACTGGCACAACTGCCAGTTCCTTCCCAGGGACCCAATCCTGCCCTTCCAGTTTCATCTCTTATCTCTCCCCACACACCCTATGTTCCAACCACACCCCTTGTTCAGGGCTTTCCAAACATGACATGGTCTCAGACCTCTTCTTGGCTTTTTTTATTGGTCAAATCTGGCATTTTCTCAAAGGGAAACAATAAATCAGGTGCTGCATTTGTGGCAGTGCCCTCTGGTGTCCGTCATTTCGCTGCATCATCTGTGCAGGATCCTCTATAAGGCTTATGAGCCCCAAATGAAGACACCACGGGCCACATGCGTGAGGCTCAATTACTTACCCTACAGTAGGGCTCCTTCTTTTTTATATCCTCCTGCTGGATCAGCCGCAAGCCCTGGACACCATTCTGCAGGCCCCTCTCATATAAAGCCTGAAGCCTGGGAATTTCTTCTTGCTCAACAGCTACTATTAGCTTTAAAAAAAAAAAAAAAAAAAAAAAAAGACAAAAAACATAGAGTTCATTATATCACCAGCTACGAAAGATATAAAGTCAACAGAAAATCATAAATTATTACATGACTCAAATAGGGTTTTTTGTATTCATGTATCAATTTTCTTCCTTTCTTTATGATTTCATTTCCTTCTTTCATCAAGAAAAGCTGACTTTTTTTTTTTTTTTTGGTGGAACCAGGGATTGAACTCAGGCCCTTGCGCCTGCCAGGGAAGAGCTTATTCCACTGAGCCATCTCCCCGGCCCCAGAAAGCTGATTTAAGAAAGTGGCATTAGAACAAATTTTCCCCAAAAGGGAGATGCAGACTCAGTCTCCTTTTGTGTTATCTACACAGTCTCTATACACATCTCGGCCATGAGCAGCTCTCATCATTAACATTCTCAATCCCAGGAACACGCAAAATATGTGTTGCTCAGCCTTTACGTGTTTTCAAAACAAAAGGCCTTTTTATTTTTTTATTTTTTGGCAGAACCGGGGATTGAACTCAGACCTTTCCACTTGCCAGGGAAGCACTTATTCTACTGAGCCATCTCTCCAGCCCCAGGCCTTCTTATTTTTATAAGGAAATATGAAATACTAATACAATAAAAAGATAGCTGGTGCTCAGTGTATTGGGACATTACTGACAAAACTATCCTTTTTATTTTCTGAAATAAATTGCAAAGCATTTATAAATGCATTCTATTGCAGAAAGGAAAAAAGCCTCAGTAAAACTTCACTCAGAACATTTTTCTACTTATTTCTGGACAAAGCATCTGAAATTGAGTGTCTTATTTAACAGATACTAACAAGGAGAAGAACAGATACATATCCATAGGTACATTAGAACTGACAAATCATTATTCCACCATACCAAAGAGTCAACAGAATTTCATGGGGTAATACTTTTAGTTTAGGTTTAAAGGCTACTGAAGTCAATGAACAAACTTAAAAATAGAAAGAAATCAAAAAACACTATCAAGAAAGAATATAATGGATTCACAGAATAGAAGAAAATATGTGTAAATCATAGAGCTAATAAAAGTCTAATATATACATAATACTCTTACTTCCTTTTTTTTTGTTTGTTTGTGGTACCTGGGATCAGACTTAGGATTCTGCACTTGCCAGGCAGGTGCTTAAGCTGCTGAGCTATCTCCCTGGCAAGATATAATACTCTTAAGAGTCAACAAAAATTGTACAATGTTACATTGTGCTTTCTTTTTATTTAGCATTTTGTCAGGACCATTTTCCCACATTACTAAAAAAAATTTTAAAGCATGTTCAATGATGGCAATAAGCTTTTATTTTTAAAAATCATATGAAGAAGCCAGCATGGCAGCACATATCTGTATTCCTAATATGTAGGAGGCTGAGGCAGGAGGATCTCTGTGAGCTCAACGCCAGCTTGGGCTAAATAATGAGTTGATTTAGTTTTGTTTTTTTTGCAGTACCAGGGATTGAACTGAGGACCCTGCGCTTGCCAGGCAAGCGCTTACTCTACTGAGCTATCTCCCTGGCCCTAAATAGTGAGTTGAAAGTTAGCCTGAACTGGTCTAAAAAAAAAAAACAACAACAACAAAGTCAGGGCTGCGGAGATAGCAATAGCTCAGCAGTCTAAGCGCCTGCCTAGGCAAGCGCCAGCGATATGGGGGAAAATGATTTCCCGACGACTTGAAAGGTACCTTTCAAGGTACAAGCTGGTGTTCTCTAAAACCAAAGAATGAATTTTAGGAACAAACAGAGGTTATGAGCAGAATATATTTATTGGGGGAAAGAAACTTTCTATTCGAGAAAGGGACAGAAGGTGGGCCGAAGCGGGTTATCCCCAGGAAGCTGCCTCTTCCAGGGACTTTTACAGAGTAAAATCAGGCAGTGAGGTGGGTCTACGGTGGAGAGTATGGGAACTTGCTCAGGTGGGCATGAGGTGGGACAAAACTATGGTCAACCAATGAGAGTACAAGCATCGCTGCTCAAGTAAAATTCATTAAATCCAGTACCAAATGGGGAAGGGAGTCAAGCAGCAAGTGGGCACAAATATGGGACAGGGTCTCTTCCTGTTGGGTTAGTGACTGGCTCTTTCAAGGTGATCGATACCTATGTAGAATATCAGTCCCGGAAGCCCATCCCTAGGGAAGTATGTGACTGCATTTGCTTATACTTTTGTCTCCAGGTCTGGCCCATTCAGTAGTGTCTGTCTCTTCCAAAGTTGCAAAGTCACCTTGTCTTCCACATTATCTCCTTGAGGACCTGACCCTGTCTGACTGCTATAACATTTCTGTCTAATTCAGCTGCCTCCAACACCAGGACCCTGGTCTGATCCCTGGTCTGATCCTTGGCCCTGCCCCCGCCCCAGGCACACTCAGCCAGCTACCAAGACTGGGCATGGTACACCTGCAATCCCAGCACTGGTGAGGCTGAAATAGGAGGATTATTACAATTCGAGCTGCGTAGTGAGACCCTGTACCAAACACATAAAATTAAAAAAAAAAAAAAATCATATGGAGAACAGACACAGTTACCATAGTTACCAATCTTATAGAAATAAGACTTACAGGGAATGGGATAAATAACTGTATGCCAATAATTAAAATAATCTAGATAAAATGAAAAAAAAATCTTAGAAAGACACAAATTCTGAAGCTGACTCAAAAATCTCAGTAGACCTAAAACAAAGAGCTTGAAAATGTCCCATGAAGAAAAACCCTGGCGCTTTTTCTGCCATCTTGGAGCCTGGGGAGTCCCGCAGGGAACAGGACTTCTAAAAGGCAAATATGTCTGGAAAACTGTGGTGCAAGGCCATTTTTGCTGGCTATAAGTGGGGTCTCCAGAACCACAGGGAACACACAGCTCTTCTTAAAATTGAAGGTGTTTATGCCCAGGATGAAACAGAATTCTACTTGGGCAAGAGATGTGCTTATGTGTACAAAGCGAAAAACAACACAGTGACTCCAGGTGGCAAACCAAACAAAACCAGAGTGATCTGGGGAAAAGTAACTCGGGCCCATGGAAACAGCGGCATGGTTTGTGCCAAGTTCCGAAGCAACC